GCGCCAGCGCGAACGTACGTACACTCATACCCTTACGGTTACGCGCACGCACACGCATATATATACGCACACGCAGACTCTGTCTTCCTTTGTCTCAAATCACTTAGTTTTCCCTTCGCGCTGTCAGTTTTCCTAGCACGCACCCGGCTTTAGCCTTGTGTATATACAGTACAACCTCACTTAATTTATACGTCGATCAGTGCTCTATCGATTCTGCTAAGGCAAATAGCCTGCAGATGACGTCATGCCTTTGGGAATAATTACAAGAGTTCATAAATTTAATAAAACAATCACACTTAATTCGCGTTCTTTTGGTAGCCGACAAAGGATATCTAAATTATGATCGCAGAGCGGGTGACATGCTATTGGTTCGCGACATGCTATGCGTTAAGCCAGCGCGATGAATAAATAAAAATATGATTAAATAAATAACCACCAAAATATTAATTAAGCGGGGAGACGTATGTGTGATAGATCAGCGGCCTCTTACGGCACGTTGAAAATATTCTTACGACGGCAATCGTCGCCTTATGAAAAGCTTTACTCTTAAACTATACCCTACGAGCTGAAATAAGAAAATACAAACAATAAAATCTGTTATAATAATATCACGAGCGTCATAATATAGATGTATATATATATATATAGGGCCTATATATATATGTTAACAAGAGCTAATAACACATAAAGCTAAAGGTATTATTAGCTCTTGATATTAATAATAACCTCCTGATAATATGTTTGCGTGCAACTATCGCAACTACTCTCGCGACTTCTATACTTGCTATCATTAGTATTATATATATGCGCAAGGTGCGAGGCTACCTCACTGCGTGTACAAATTTAGGACGAGAAGCATAATATATGTTGTAACAACTTCATGTTACACTGCAATAAGAAATCTAAAGCCCCCGATCACAAATATTAGACTAGGAGCATACGTCGTAGCAACTTCACATTACGCTGCAATTAGAAATATAAAGCCACCAATCCGTGCAGTGTTAATCGCATGTAATCGAATACATTAGCATTCCGTGCACATGCACTCGTCCGTACGCACAAACACAATACATTCGTTATTAAACCCGAACGCGTACGTACGTATGGATACACGCACAGACAGACACACACACGCGCGCGCACGCGCACACGCACACGCACGCGCCCACACACACACACACACACACACACACACACACACCCACAAATAAGCAGGCAACCTAACATGGTGCTAGCGAGCCAAATATAGACGCATGCATACAAAGTATTGGACGTAACAGGGGCGACAATCTCCTAACACGTGGCAATACAGTCGCGCGTAAAACCATTCACGAAACACTTGCGCGTCATATAATACGCCTCATTGACGCTACGCTATGGCGCTGTGCCACCACGGTGATGCAGATAGTCTGGGACAGATCGGAGAGAGAGTCAGGAGATAGTGGGGAGACGAGAGATAGGGGCGGGGGCGGAGGGAGGGGAGAGGAAAGAGAGGAGAGAAGAGAGATGAGAGCAGATGTGTGTTGTGTGTGGGGTGTGGGGTGTGTGGGTGATGTGTGTGTGTGTGTGGTGGCGGTGGTGTGCGTGTACGGTTTGTCGTGCGGTCGCGTATGTCGTATACGCTGTGTCGCGTGCCTGTGCGTATGCGTGTTGTGGGCAGGTGCAAGAACACGACAATTAAGGGACATTATGGAGGCCATGCTGGCTACGAAACAGCAGCGCCTAGATACTTAGATATAATAGAGTATTATATATATATATATATATATATATACGAGTTTTAACAGGACGGGACACGTTCTCAGCAAGCCTGTAAACTGCATTCGCGCGCCTTCTCTAAGTGAGTCCCTGACTAGCGTCATCCAATACGTGCTTCATGACACGAGTGTACGGTGATATCACACCCATCACGATTTGCCTCCCTTCGTATTACGCGGTAACGTAATTACCGCTACACATATGGGTGGCGGGTGTGCGTAGGGGAGGGTTCGAGTTCGCGGCGGGCGCGCGCGTGTGGGTGAGGGGGGGGGCGTGCGTACGTGCGCTCCGCGTGCGCTGCGTGCATTGACGTTGAGTGCGTGTTTGGGGTGTGGCTGTGACGCGCTCGCGGCGTGGAGGAGGTGCGTGGGTGCATGCGTGCGTGCGTGCGCTGGTGTGTGTGTCCGCGCGCGGACGTGTGGTGTGTGGGTATAGGCTGCGCGCGCGTCGCCGGGTGGGGGGGGGGGGGCATGCGTAGGTGGGCGGAGGCGAGGCGTAGGTGGGGGCGGTGGGGTGTGTGGGTGTGTGGGTGTGTATGCGCGCGGACGCGCGGGCCAGGCGGCGGCAACTGTGTGGGGGGCGGGGGCATGCGGACGGCTGGGGGAGCATGCGTAGGTGTGTGTGTTTGTGTGTGTATGTGTGTGTGTGTGTGTGTGTGTGTGTGTGTGTGTGTGTGTGTTCCTGTCTGTCTGTCTATGTTTGTCTCTCTCGCACGCACTCTACTTGTGCCATCGCCCTTATACGATTAAGGTCTGCTCTCTCCCTATTTAGCTTGGATAAATAATTCATCGGGATGATAGTAGGAGGCTAGGATCTGCTACAGAGTGACGATCTAACTCGAGTTGAATAACTTAAATGTTATCTTTTAGTAATATCGATCCCAGCAATGCCTACCAACCACACATTGGTGTCGCTCACAAAGTTGTCCAGATTTATCACGAAAACAAATCGACAACGATCGTGCTACAGGATGAAAAACACTGTCAGGATGGGTTCACGACGAGGATCGTACTAGGGCAACGTCGATAGATTTAGGAGCTAGCAGCTAGTCTATTCTTTTCAGATCAGATGAACTATTCTTTTCAGAGTCAGATGAACCCACATGGGATATTCATGGGGGAGGTATTCGGCGAATCGGCGAGAAAGACAGCGGCAATAGCTGCCCTCTCTATCAAACAATGGCTTGCATTGAAACTGTGTAACGCCGTAGATTACCGAACTTATCCGAGTGGCTGCTTTTTCACTCGCCCTAAAATAAACATTTGCAAATGAAGTACGGACAATGGATGCAGGTGGCCACTGATATACCCCAGTGGTGCGGACGAGCAGTAGATATTACAGCCCGTAGATTGTACCAGATTTACCGGACAATTTCGCGAGTGGTTAATTTCGCGGTCGGTTAATTATGTATTATTCGGTATTTTTCGGTATGAATGATTCGCGTGTTGTTATTTTCGCGGTCGGGGACGCGTTCGCGAAATTCGCGAAAATTAAACAGCTTATACAGTATTCTAATGTTGTGTTACTTGGCGTTGCAATCGTAGCTGTTGCGCTATTGTTTATATTTTCAACAGTCTCTTGTTTATCGCGTTTATCACCCCTACCATTCCGTTGCTCGCTATTCACTCCGTCCAATCCTACTTTGCGACGCCGGTGCATAAACTATCCTCATCTTGGCCCCCTTATTTTTAACTCTAACTCTAATCCCAATCGAACCCTTATCTTAACCTAATCGTAAGCTTATCGATAAAATCTGGGTGCTAAAGTCAGATTTATCCTCTTTCTATTCCATTCATCCTCCTTCTATCGCTCAGAGCGTTCTATGTCCGCCCATCCTCATACATTTCGTCCTTAATACATTATTCAGAGTGTTGTCTCAGGAGAACATAGTGTGACGTATGGAAAGGTGTCAAGCAATAAGATACGCAGCCTACGCAAGGCGCGCAGCCTGAATATCAACATTGCGACATACGAATGACCCGCTTGACTCTATTCAATCACACCCCGCCTACGCATGCATGAAAACCACTGAATATATCATAACAGCTGTTATTGTATACAGCTCAGTGATGGCAACCGCCTATGACGTAATACAAGAGCAGCGCCCTCGCGCTAATGAATTAAATAATATTTTGCTTCTCATTGCAAACGTCCACCCCCTAACTCAAGAAGCCTAGTAACGTTGTTAAGCATGCCGCAGGCGGGGAAGATGGATTGCTTCTTCTTCTTCTTCTTCTTCTTCTTCTTCTTCTTCTTCTTCTTCTCGGGTCACTACACTACACTCGACCTAGCCACTGCAGCACACAGGGCCTGGCACGGTGGTTAAAACCTCAAGGTCTCCAGGAGCTGCGTTGCTCACATTGAGTACAGGCGTGGGAACGTGGAGCCTCTAACTGATTGTAAACAAGCTTCCTCAGAGAGACCGAGCGCCGGCTGTCTCATTTTCTTCATGCCTGTGGTTTTACGATTAATTATGTTAAAGTGGCAACGGAACTAACTGAAAGCCTACTAGGAACTGCTCGAGGCAATTAGCAAAGTGAAAAATACATCGATCAGATGTACGCGTGAAAACATGGAGTGAAGTATGTTCATCGTAGCAAATATGTTGGCAAATGCGCTGTCAGTAATTATGCGAACCTAATCTATAGTAGTAGAATTATTCAAGTGTAAGTATAAAAGCTTTAACATCTATTATAAACGCCCGTATATTTAAGGCTAGCAAGTAAGCGCTTTTACACGGACACAAAGAG